TTTATCATTTCCAGTATTTCGACTAAGTTTCAGTTGTTTCCGATGATTTTCCGCTTTTTTACTATTTATTTCTATAAATTTCAGTAAAACTGTGTTCGTTGGGTAAAATAGCTTAAAAATGTAATAYAARGCTGGTAATATATTATTATAATAGCATATAATTTTTTTTATAAGCATTTATTAAGTTCATAATTCAATTAAATTTACGAAATTTATTTATGAATGTATGAACGTAAATTATAAAATGTTAAATTTTTATAGCTAAGGATTGAAAAATTAAAACGAAAATTCTTTTAAACACTTTTTTTTTTACAAATATTTTTAATTCAAATTTTGGCCAAATGTTATATTAAAACTTAAAATAAAGATTTAAGTTGTTTTGTTATAATTTAAAAAACATTATTCATGGACTTTTAGAGTACATCATTTTTTTCTTTATTTATTTTTTTTTTCTATTAATTAAAGGCTTCAAATACAAATGTTTATTAGCCTACTATGGTTTACATTTTAATTTATAATATAATGGAGATTTGATAGTYGTGATGTGCTGTCTTTGRTTCTTGTCTTATATGTTGGTTGTAAGGTCGGCCATCTTGATGAAGTTTACTATGTTTTTTTCTTGTCCTGGTCCGAGTGCGTCTTTGAGTGAGGAGGTGTTTATGTTTGCTTTTGATCTGGCGTTATGGTAAGTGGRGYATTCTAGGAATATATKWTTAACGGTGAGTTCGCAGTTGCATGTTTCACACCTGGGTTTGAGCTCTCTACGCATAAGATTCTAGTATGTCCGATGCGTACTCTGGCGATCATGTTCTCTTTATGTCGTGTAAGCTTGACTGGAGGGTCCGGCCATTTTTTGGTTAATGGTTTTATTTGTCTGAGTTTATTGATTTTGGTTGGATTTTTTTTCCCATTGATTCTGCCAGAGGGTGTATAATTTCGTTAGCCTAGCCCTCGTTTTGAGGGCGTGGATTACATCGTCGTATGTTACATGCGGGTGTATTTTTGTGTCCGGGGAGCTAGTAGCTTTCATCGCCAGTTCGTCAGCGAGTTCATTACCGGGGATGCCGATGTGAGATGGAACMCACATGAGTTTGATGGATTTGTCGGTTGAGAGGATTATGTTTTGAATGCTTTGGGCGAGGTTGCAWTTTGTWTGTAYGTTGGYTATTGAGGTGACCGCGCTCATAGAGTCACTTAAGATGAGAACTTTAACGTGGTTTGAGGAGAGTGCGGTTAATGTGGCTTCGAGTATGGCAAATGTTTCTGCTGAGTATATGCTGGAGAGAGGGTCTAATTTATGAAGACTATTTTCATCCCTGTGGGTAATGGCGAAACTGGTTTCATTCGTTGTTGAAATTCGTCGAAATGATATCTAATAATTTATTCTTCTTTTGAAATATTGTATTCTTTATAGATTGATACGGGATCGAACGGACCTTGGTTATTTTCTAAAATATGTTTAAAGGTGTCGTAGTCGATTTTGAAACTGTATTGGTCGTTGAACAAATGTTGTGTAGGTTCTAAATAAGTATTATTTAATAAGATATTTAATAAGATATTTTCTAAGAATTTTTTTAAGGATGCGGATTTAGTTTCCTTATTCTTTTTTTTTTTCTGTTGTTTTACTTTGGTGGGTTTCACAGTTTGAAGGAGCAAACATTTGGTTTGTTTCTTGAGCTATATCCATCGGAGACGAGGGGGC